TATAAACAAGGCAGCAAAGCTGTCAAATGTACAGACAAAAAACAGGAAATAACTATGCACAAAATAGGCTACTGTCAATTCTGATGCAAAAGTACATTATATTAAACTGCAAATTCAACATCAAATTTTAATTATGCTCAACAGGTAATACCAATGTAAGTAAAATGTGTAAAAAGTTCACACTTTGAAAATGTATAACTTCCAGAAAAAGAAGCCAATTAGACTGCTTTTCCAACTCGGGCTGCATTATAGTCCTGTATTTCTATTTTGAAAAGTTGGCAATCATAAGTAACATGGTTTTCCCATAATGGTCATCATGGCAGCAGCACCCAAAATTGTGTTTTCTTCTATTCTGATGCCAAATTACATAATGGTTAACAGCATTATGATCATCAATTTTTAATAATAAAATATATGTATCATGGATTTTCAGAAAATGTGACTAGCATGGGTCTTCAAGCCCGTGGAACTTCAAAGTCACACCTTGAAAATTAAATTTTCACAAAAAAAAAACTGTTTAACTGGCAGTAAGAATTACCAAACAGATTGCATTGCCTACTGAAGCTGTATTTTAGTCCCATGTTTCTTTCCTCTAAGTTTGAGAACAGTAAGTGACATGGTTTTTCTTAAATGGTCATCATGGGAGCAGTGCCCAAAATAGTTTTTTTTTTTCAAAATTTTAATGCAATATTACATAATGTTTAACAGCATGATGACCATCAATTTAATAATAAAATATTAATATTATGGACATTCAGAAAATGTGACTAGCAAAGGTCTTCAGGCCCATGGAACTTCAAAGTCACAACTTGAAAATGCCAAAATGTAAACAAGACAGCACTGTTCTGAAATTTTTTTTCCCCCATTTTTAACAATTTTTAACATAAAACAAAATAAACAGTTTACTGCCGTTTTTAAATGATCAACTAAGAAAATTGATAAGATGGGAAAAATATTAATACAGCAGTGTTAAATGTCCAATTTCTTCCATTCTGAGATTCTGAACATAGTGAATGATTGAATCTGACAAACTGCAATGATATGAGTTTATTTCCATTTTTGAAACTTTATTACACAATACACGATAACAAGTTTACCATCATTTTTACATAATCAACTAATAATGTTGTAAAGATGCAGGAAATGCCAAACAAACACTTTTACGTATCTTATTAATTAAATAATGAGACTGTTAACATGCCTAAGAATTGAATCTGAGGAAATGTGAAAAAAACGGCATTTCTTTAAAATAATAGCCAGATTATGTTGATTTTTGAACTCAACCTGCGTTTTAGCAGGAATGACCACTCCTGTGAGTTTAATGACAATTGGCCTATCTGTTTTTCTTATATTGTGTTTTCAGTGATGCATATATGCTGAAAAATGAAAAAAAAAGCTAACTACTAAAATAGTGGCCCGATCATGCCGATTTTTGAACTTGACCTGCATTATAGTAAGATCCATTACTTCTGTGAGTTTCATGACAACAGGCCTATCTGTTTTCCTTGAAATGTGTTTACAGTGTTGCATATATGCTGAAAAGTGAAAAACAGCACAACTTCTACAATAATGGCCCGATCATACTCATTTTCAAACTTGACCTGCGTTTTATGAATATTCATCAGCTCTGTAAATATACAGCCAAAAAGTAAAACTGCCNTAAATTTCAAACAAGTTGAGAAAATTTCTTACAATAGATATTTGCTTCTAGGCAAAGCAATATCTCAAAGAAGGCTACTAGCCCGAAGATATCTTAGTGATCTTAAAAATCTTAATTATCACGGAAATCCATTTTTATACATACCTCTGTTAATTTGATTTTACTTTTTGCTATCTTATTAACATGTCATTCCTCACAGGCATTAAAGAAAGTTACATACCTGTCTGTCTATACAGGATAAGGGGAGGGGGGACAAATTACTTACAAATATATAACTTTATTCAGTATCCATACAGAATATATATATATATATATATATATATATATATATATATATATATATATATATATATATATATATATATATATATATATATATATATATATCTGATATTAATAAATGCTGCAAATGTCACTTTTTTTCTATTTTAATAATTCAATTAACTGATCACTACTTAAAAACAGTAGATGATATTTCAAACAGAGGACAATAATACTAGATGAATAGTTATTATATCATAAAATAACAAAAGAAAATACTCTCATTGTCAAAAACTTAGATGGGCACATTGTACTTCTTAACTAATAACAGGCAGTCTCTTGCTTATTTTTCATGGCAAAACTATATCCATGTAAAACCTGAACTCAACCCATCTTGAGTGACAAAACAATTCTTTCTTGAAGAACACTTTAGTTCCAAGAAGAGTAAAGCATAACTTTCACTAATAACCCCCAGTTCCAGTTCCACTTGTCTTTGGCAATTTGCACTGAACCTCAAAGGTTCCAGAACCCCAAAAATAATGAGGTAGACTTTTTTCCACCAAAAATCTGTTTTTGATCAAACTTTGCCTTTCCATGTGATATGACACTATTGCTGTTCTAGTGTTTATAAAACATAGAGAAATAAACACGGAAATTGCACTTAAAACGGCAACACCTAGGCCAGGCTGATGGTAGGGAAGATTAAAGCCTATACCCTTGGCAGTGGGCTAATGGCATGGACTGAAGAAAAAATGCCACAATTTTTTCACACCCTCTTGCACAGAGACAAGGCTTCCTTCTTTTTTTCAATCGTTAAACATTATTTTACACCAATCATGTTTGTTTTTTCAAAATAAAAACAATGAATTGATATTACAATAAATCAAAATATGTCCAAGGATAATAATTAATGAAACATCTAAAATATACCGAAGACAAATGATCTGAAGAAAATAAAATCCTGTGGTGCGCTCTCTGTATAAGGGGGTGTATACCAAGAATCTGAACAGACTGCCCCTGCCACTCACATGGACTACATTCATATAACTCACTGCCTACTGTCCATACACACTGACAGTGACCAATAGACTGACCCATCAGAGATGGTGTGGGAATGGCGCCTTTGCATATTTAGGTACACATTCTTACAAAAATTTTGATCACCAATTCTCGATCACGCTGGTTATTTTGTTTGTCCATTTCCCTTCAGTTCAAGGTGCTTTTGTGATCTGTTCTTTTTAGATATTTGAATATTGAGAATCTTATGGAATGCTCTCTGTATACTGATAATTAAGGAACTGTTCCAAAGACAGCAATGATATTAATGAAACTAATTTCGACTCCATTAACATTTGAGTTGGACTGCTCTCAAAACAGCAGGCAGAAAAAAACAGACAGACAGAAGTTCAACGAAGAAGTTGCAAGGTAAGAATCTTCACTTGAATTTTTTTTTCATAGTCTGTAATGTTTCTATATGATGTATTTATCTAAGGACAATACTGAACAGCATAGGCATACTGTGATTGTGTACTTATTACTAGCAGGAGTTAATACATTTGAGGAAGATTGTGGTATCAGAAGGTACATTATCATTTCTCTTTGTCTGAGAATTTTTAAAATCACAATCATGCCCTTCATCAATATTTTATTAAAATGATCTTTAATTGCAAAATGATTTTTTTTATTGAGGGAATCAACCAAGATGAGATCAATAATTCCATATAAAACACTGTTTATATGGAAACTGTTCAACTAAAACGGTATATTGTTCTGGTTTACAAAACTATCCTGAATCTCTCATTAACTAATGAATTTCTCAAAACTCTGCAATTCCTCTTATGTGAAACCTGTTATTTATACATATTTTCGTTATGATGATTCTAAAATATAAGCAATTTTATTCTTAAAATGTTATGCACTATCTATTTAATTATAAAAATGGGTGTTTAACTGTCAACACAAATTGGAAAACAACAGAGCATTTCTTTTCACTTTCTTCTCTAATTTACACCAGGCTTTTTAACACAGGAAACAGTTTTCAAACAACTTATTTTCAGTCTTGTGATCTGCAAAAAGCTTTAAAATTAAACAGAGTTTGGACAGAGCTTACTTTGTTGTAAGAGCTCTCAGTTCACAGTTAGTGTCATTATGCTTGGCTGGCAGGCTATGGGAATTCCTCTGTGGTTTAAAAATACTGTCAAAACATACAGGGTGTAGTTTACAAATTACTGTGAACTATATAGGCACTGTAGTTCACTAATTTGTACACACACACACTGAGAGAGAGAGAGAGAGAGAGAGAGAGAGAAAGGGGAAAGCAAATGGTAATTAATTCTTTTTAGCAATCTTCCATCTAAGTAAATTTTACCGAAAAAGAATTAGTCCATGCTCATGGTGTCATATTGTTCATGGTGCTTACTAACTAGACGTGAGGGACATTAGGCCACATGATAGTTCCAGTCATCTCAGTCAACACCAAAACCTTAATTAAAACTTTCCAGGGCCAACCTCAAATCTTCTGCAGGACTTAAGGTTTTATATCTAAATAAAACCATTTTATCTTACCTGGTATGTCACTGTATCTTGCCACAGCCAATTCATCATACGACTTATGTTTGCCTGGTTTTCCATCTGAAGAAGTATAAATATAAATAAGACTAATTTCACTTCTTAAAAAATATTTAATTAATATATAATTAACTTAGAGAAATGGTTTATTAAAATGCAGTCTAATGATTAAAACAAGAATAATTTTTCAATGATTTTATGCACAGACCAGCACAATGATGATCAAGAAACCAACAAGATTGTGCTGGCTGCAATCACCCTGCAGCTCAACTAACACATACTAAACACCATCACAACTGTAGCAATGTTTGTTCATTCAAACATCCTTAACAAAACATGTCTGCAAGATCTATTGTCATATATATAGATTTTTTGATGAAATGATCTGAGAAGAACACAAGTCCAAGGAAAGGAGTATCAGTGCCCAACCCATGGATACATTGTAGCTGTAAATACCTGCATATTCATACATTCTTCTCATAAACTATCATTCAAAGAAATATTATCACCATAACTCATCACTTTTCTATACAGTATGGAACATGAAATTATCTTCAGTATCCTTCTCCTTCGTATTCACTACAAATACTGGAAACTCTTAAATCGTCTATGTCAACAGACAAAAAATACTACCATATGCTTTTGATATCTATGACAACAAACGCCAATTTTAATGGAATGCTTTGGTGAAAAGCTTTATAACAGGCGGAAAATTACTTAATCTACCTCACTGCCCACTTGCTGTCAATCACCTGTAGTGTACTTGGGAGAAATTCTTTTAACTCCACGAGTTAAATGTAGCCCTCCCTTCCATCCAGAACCTTACACAATCTAACAGCTGGTACATCATAAATATAGATCTACAATTACTACTACACAGGTAAGAATATTACCCTAACACACTCACTAAAATTGCCATTAATGGGTCCTTTATAATGCACCCACATACGCATAAATACACACATACTGCAAAGTTCTAATTAAAAAATGCTGACCCTAAAATACAAGTAGTACTCACGGTACCACCGATTTGTGTACATTTTTGTAAAATGGTTAAAAAATAAACAATTTTAAACCAAAATTAAAAAAAAAAAACATAGCAGAATTTCACATTTTATATTATGTTTTGGATCCTACTTTAAAAAAGTGTGACTGTAAAATGTCAACTCACTTTGTCTGTTTATTCTACAACAGTGAGTTGCTGTGGTAATAGATGTATCAGTTACTATGTTAACAACTGTGCGTCACAAACATCACGTCCTAGTGACTGGCAAATTTGAATTTTATATGTAACCTTTATTGTGTTTGAGCTAACCGAGATACTGGTAGAAATTTTCCATTTATCCACTTTTGTGTTTTACAGCTAATTTTCATTATATATAAACATAATAATAACGCAATGTTTATCAAATGTGTTTTGAACTGAAAAAGTCATTTAGCTGTGTTGAAAAAGCCATGGGTTATAAAATATTTGTCAGTTTTCAGTTTATATACACAAAAATGAATATTGTTATGTTTTTATTTCCTGATATATGGACTAGGAAAGGAACTGCACAATGTCTTCTGCACACACAACCTTGTAGAAAAACACTGCAGAGAAATAGGGGGAATTGATATCTTGCACCAAGTGGCCTGATACTGCCAGGAAGCTATAACCACAGCACTAATACCATTATGAAAACACTGATTCTGGTCTGGTCAGAGCAGAAACGGGATTTATATTTGGTCAGATTTGGTTGGTAAGATAAACCTTGGCTTAAAAAATAAGAAAAAAAAAAGAAAAAAAAATTGTCAACCTCCTTCTGATGCCAAAGGATACCTTTGTAGACCTTGCAATGTACCTTGCTTCTTACGACCAATTTCCACTCATGCTGTGACTTCATAAATCAATCCTATTTTAGCAGCCTGTGTTTACCACTTCAAACCATAGAATGGCAATCTTATCTATTTGTTGTCCCACCCACCATCACTATATTGTAAATGAGAGGGGTTGGGTGTCTTTCACCCAAGTTTCAGTGTTCACTGGGATTTTTTTCTCACGTGTCACTGATGTATCCGAGTATGCTTCCACTTTCTGAAAGTTCAGTATTCTGAAGGATGGCTATGATGAAGGTTTGCTATTCCAAAATAAACATACAGGTACAGATAGAGTGCAAAGATATAACGAACTTTTTTGTTTAGCACAATGGAAATTCAGGATAATGGTCAATTTTAGATCAAGGCTCCTTTATTTTTTCAGAATACCAAACCATCAGAATACCGAACCTTTGGAACAAAGAGCTGACGCCCTGTACCCAGTATCTGGCAGAGGCATACTGGTACAATAACAAAGGTGAGTTTTCACTGACCTCTGAAACTCAGGGTTTGCTACCTCGGGTAAGAAAAAATTAATCCTGTTATTAACTAAACATATATGCACACTAAATTAAGCGGTCACAGCTCAGCTGGAAATGCGCCTTCAGGTGCTTACCATCTTCCCTTAACCCTCTCTGCACAACAACATCCAGCCGTCTGAGCAGATACTGTTTCAGTCTGGACAGCTTCTTCATGGCAAGTAGATGTCAACACAGTGCTAGTAATGCCAAGTTTTCTTACTTCTTTATCAGGGTCCTGAGAAATCCTCACTTAACCTTCTACTTGTTCAGGCTTCTGAGTACAGATCTTTTTAAGTGTTGTTCAGTGAAAAGTTTCATTCAGAAATGCTACTAGTATATACTTCCAGGCCTGTATGGGATCATTTCTCTTCATCCCACCTCACAATCTTTTCAGTTTTTGATCAAGTTTTAATGGATGCACAGGTCTACAGGTACATGTATATCTAAATGACAGCTTAGTGTGCACATTGAAAGTACTTAATATTCTCACTTGCTCAGGTGGCCTGCTGCTTGGCTGGTAACTGTCAAAAATGATTGTCAAAATAGACCAATGAGGTTAAACAACATTGGCATCAGAACTGCACAAGCAAATTCTTCAAACCTGCAACCACTCTGTTATACATCCAAGTTATAGCAGTATTAAACATGTTTGAAAAGTCTTCACACAGTTTTTCATGCAGCGAAATGATCCTACACCTCACTCCTCTCAAGGTTAATGGAGTTTCCACCATGCAAAATTCATTTCAATCATATTACATTCCACTGTTATTTCCCTCGTTGCCTGCCAATGATATACACCAGGCTTGTAGTTAGAAATGTATTTTACACAGTGTGCTATAAAGTTGGCAGCACCTGAATCCAGTTATAATATGTATCCAACTGTTATTCAAGTACTTATTAATAACCACTTGGTCTACTGGTCAGACAGAGTGACGGTCACTCCAGTGTGTCATCAGCCAAATTTAACAATAAATCCATATCTATCAAATGTGCTCTTTTCTAATATTCATGCACGGTGGCATTTATTCGCTGAGCTCTGGTTTGGACTTTGAGTCATCTAAATCCACTTCATTCTACTGATGGATGAATTCAAACCTGATCTCAATACCCTATTTCTTTTACTCCAGCACTGAAGTGTAAAAAATAAAGAGTTCACACCTTGTCAAATCCTTTTTCGTCACTTGCTCTGTAGTTCTAACTCAAGGTGGATGTTGGTTGCCTTTGTACTGGACTCAGCTCAAATCCCTACCCACAGAATCCACGACCTTGCTTTTTTCCCACAGATAAATCCCTGTTCTTAGTCACGTCATATTGTCATTGTCAGGGAACCTGTTACATGATTCTGCATAATATTCAGACCTCTATTCTTCAGACTTTGTATCCAAGTGGAAAACCTTGTTTCTTTTTCATCAACTCAGTATTCGACAGTCCCACTTGTCTGCGTGCCTGCCTGCCTTTTTTCAGTAAACATAAATACAAGGATCACTAGAGATGGGTACTGCAATCAATGGTCATCTTTTTGGAGACTAAAATCTTCTTTGTGAGAACAGACTTGAACACGACTTGAGATCCATTGCACCATTCAAGTGTTGGTGGACCTCTTTTCCTCAGTTCAGTAAACATGTGGAAAGAAGTTGATGGGAGAACATATAATACCTAAGGTCGCGTCAGGGTCTTATCTCAAATCTCACACACACTGATTTTGTTCACAGGGATAAGAAAGAATTCTTTGGATAGAAAACCCCTCATAAAAAACATTGTACATTAGAGACTTGAAAGAAAATACATAGGATAATATAACCCAATACAGTTTGCAGAGATGAAAAGAGATTTCTAAAGGGTAATATTACTCTACTTTTTTTTAAGTCAACAGCTGTGTTCAGAATATCTGATATAGCTTAAAAGACTCTGCCTGGTGTTTGACAAGTAGTGCCAATGCAACCTAGAAGGAAATAACATCAATTTTGATAGTTACTGCATCTTTTTTTGCCTATCTTGCAAGAGTAATACTGGTATACATGTATCTAGTAAGATAAGGCACAATGTTTACAATGTATTTGTTGTTCAACCTGAACGGATTGATAGACAGTATGAAAAGGTAAGATAATGAGAGCAGGTTAAGTAAAAAATTTAGCCTGTAAGAGGGAGACTACAAGCAAATTAATACAAATTCCATGGTTTAAATCATATATATATATATATATATATATGTATATATGACAGGCTTATGCATTTTTATGCATAAAAATTACCTAATGCTCAAAGTTATTAAATATGGTCGGAAAGTTGCCCACAAAGTTCATGACCTCCTACAGCCAGCAATAATTAAGCAGGACATAAAAGACAATGCTTCTTGGCAAGGCTGTTAAAAAATGACTGTGTGCATGGACATCGATCACCAAAAAGGTATGTTGAATGTCACACACACAGTGTTGAAGAGAGACTTCTAAAAGGCCTTTCTGTCTGTGTAACCAGCCTATCAAATACTGGGCACATTCATACTTCAGTGCTCACAATAAAATTTAAGAACTGCAAAAAAATCTTATCTTGTTGAAAAGTTCTCAAGTACGATGTTGTCAGTTTGTTAATTCTGATGGGTCAATGAATTTAGTATTTTGTCTAATGCAAAATTAATATCTTATATACTTCCACTGCTTTTATCAAGATTTTTGTGAATGTTCCTATAAATCATATTTATACCTTGAAACAAGTTTTAGGGAAAAGCACATTTCAACATTGGGGAATAGCATACGAGCCAGTGGTTACCCCATTTGATATAATTGAGCTAGACTTTGGAAATACATAATATATGACATTTTGTACAACTCTTTACACCGCAGAAACCACTTCTGGTCTATCTCTTTATCACAATAATGATTTGTCATTAATTTTTTCAACTGACTTGAATTCAACTTTTTTTTCTATAATTCTTGACAATCACACACACACACACACACACACACACACACACACAATTGAGTTAGGACTCAAGCCTTCAGAACCAATTAACAGAACTGTATGTACAATACAGCACATAAGCACAGTAGATAAATTGTCATGTGGTTAAAAAAAATTAAGGCGTGCATACACTGAAAATGTATCGTCTCTTCTTGTCAACTGATTTAAAAATGAATATAACAACAATAAACATCAAAAACATTAACACTGTTCAGCCACCTTCTGCAATTCCTATCATTAATACAACTCACTTCAGGACATGGAGGATTACACCTGCTGCCTTCAAACGGCTTATATATAAAAACAACCTGCAGAGAAGAGTTGTGGTGAGGAAAGACCAACCTATTTCCAATGTAAATGTGACTAAACAGGCTGTCATTTTTACCTAAACACAATATGCACCTATATCGGTTCCTTATACTGATTGATCTGTACTGTACTGCTAGTACATGCCTGGAGCTTTAGATATCCATTAGTATTTAGAAATGCCTATCAAGACAGAGTTTATAGATCACATAATAAACAGACAATATTGGATCTTAAATTTAGCACAAAGCAGGTGTGTTTTGTTATCAATGAAATGCATGTATTTCTGTAATTTTTCAAACATCAGTTGGGTACCACTCTACCCTACATAAAACCATCCATACATTTTCTTTAGAGGATAAAAATACATTTGACTTTGAACAAAACAAATGGTATAATATTATTAATGATGCATGACTCCAAAGATGCATGTATGATACTAGTAATTTTTTTAATCATACCATTTGCCTGTCTATGCCAAACACAGTAATTATATCTTAATGACAGTCTCTCCATACAATAATTTATTTTAAACAATGAAACAAAAGATCAGCCCATGTCATAATAAATCGTGGGGAATTATTCACTGTTTTAATCACTGTGTTAACCTCCAAACAAATGACTTGCCTGATCATTCCACCAACATTTTCTTAGGTAATTATACGTCAGATATGTGTGCAAAAAATGAATTTCTTAAATGTGTTCAAATATACCAATAATAAAACGCTGGACAATAACTTTAAATTACAATTTTCCCATTGCAATCAGATACAGATGTTAAAATCGATTTATTCATTGGGCGAACGAAAACAACTTTGCTTTTTACATGAAAAATAATGAATAACTAATTTTTTAAATAGCACAGTTCAGGTAGAATTCGACACAAACTCAACTGAGTCATTCACGACGAGTGCGAAAATGAGATGTTCACAACCAGAGGGGTATCTATTTCTTATCTGTGTTCATTATTTCTATACTCACCTCTTTCATCATGTGCAGACTTGAAGCAATCTGGTTTCCATCCAGGCATTTTACCTCATTCCTCATTTAATAGTACAATACGTATTTAATAAGATAAAACGTGCATTTTCTTGCTCTCGGTTTTGGTAAAGATTTCATGCCTTCAAAATGGTGCATAATATTAAGGTCTCCTTTACAAGAAGAGTCAACCCAAGAACAAGATAATGCCGTTTTTCCCAAAAATGCGTAATGGGAATGTGCCAAATTTCTTCCATTTGTATGATGTTATGTGACTTTGCAAGTCTCTGGCAATCGCTAATATTACTCAGTGGTGGTTGTGG